ACCTGAAGAGTCACTTCTCAGAAGATGATGTACAATCAGTCAACAAATACATGAAAAAATGTTCATCATCACTAGCAATTAGAGAAATGCAAATCAAAAGCAATCTAAGATTTCATTTCACTCCAATTAGAATGGCAGCTATAATGCATACAAACAACAATAAGTGTTGGCGAGGATGTGGGGAAAAAGGTACACTCATACTCTGCTGGTGGGACTGCAAATTGGTACAGCCAATGTGGAAAGCAGTATGGAGATTTCTTGGAAAATTGGGAATGGAACCACCATTTGACCAGGCTCCCTCTCTTTGGTCTATACCCAAAGGACTTAAAATCAGCATATTACAGGGACACACCCATATCAATGTTTAGCAGCACAATTCACAATAGCTAAACTATGGAACCAACTTAGATGCCCTTCAATAGATGAATGGATAAAAAAATGTGGCATATATACATAATTGGATATTACTCAGCAATAAAAGAGAATAAAATCATGGCATTTGCAAGTAAATGGATGGAGTTAGAGAAGATAATGCTAAGTGAAGTTAGTCAATCCCAAAAAACCAAATGCTGAATGTTTTCTTTGATATCAGGAGGTTGATTCATAGTGGGATCGGGAGCGGGAGCATGGGAGGAATAGACAAACTCTAGATAGAGCAGAAGGGTTGGAGGGGAAGGAGGGGACATGGGGTAATTAATGATCATTACTATCCAAAGTACATGTATGAAGACATGAATTGATGTGAATATACTATGTATACAACCAGAAATATGAAAAATTGTGCTCTATATATGTAATAAGAACTATAATGCATTCTGCTGTCGTATATAAATAAAAAATTTACATATAAAAAAAATTAGTAGTTCTACTTAATAGTTAAGGAAACATACTTTTGAATAAAACACTTGCTCAAGATCACATGGCTAAGTGGTGGAATGGGAATCCAAAACCTATATTCATTCTTCCTTATTTCTCAAGAGGAGAGGCAGACAGGCTGCTGTTAGGTGAATTCTCTATTGGGGTGAGAGTTATTGTAAGGGGAACTGAATTAGGTTAGCCTATATTACTAGTTAAATCTAAACCCCCAGAGCCTTCTGGTTCTCAAAATTCAGTGTACAGGAAACTGGAAAACACTTTTACTACAAAATACCTAAAAATGCTGTCAGGCATGGGGAGAGAGACCTAACAAATATTCTTTTCAATGCTCTGCTGAGCTTACCAGAAAGTAAGAAAAATTTTACTTTTGGTAGGCCAAAAATGAAGGAAGAAAAATGATGGTATTAAATGTTTATACTGACCCTATCCCTATAGTTTCCTTAGGGGTTTTGCCAGTCTTACTTTTCAAGAATTGTGTCTTTTTATATATAAAAATACACACACACACACACACACACACACACACACACACACACACATATGCCTAGGGCCCATTCAAGACAGGGAAATGTACCTGCATCCCACATAAAAACCAGAGAATGCCTCTGAAGTGTTTATCCCAAGTGAGAAAATGATTGCATTGTTAAGTAAGAGTCTCTGCTGGACCATGTGTAGGGATGGGAATGAAGTCATCTCCTCTGATTAACAGAGCCTTTACCCTTGTTGTCCCAGGTTCACATAAACTCCCTATGTTGTTTAGGAATTCTACAGTTGTATGGATATTTCTGAGTGCCTAGAAGAAGCAAATCTAAAATCTATCTAGAGGGTTTGATGTCACCAAAATCCCAGAAGTGAAATACCACTGAAGATAAGCACTTAATCTCAAATTAGCCCTGAAAAGCTTTCAAAACAAATCTGCCATGAGGAGGAATCATTAAATAGAACAAACAGTAACATAACCCCAAGGACTTTCAACCAATAAAAATGTCACCTAGAGATTATAACTTAAGTATTTGAAAATAATTGAAGAACTAAAAGAAGGAATAAAAAAGTGAGAAAAAGCATAAGACACAATTTTTAAAAGACAGATTTGGAAGAAAAAGACCAAATGAAACATCTAAAGATGATACTTAAAGAAAAATTAATAGGTTTATATGTAACTTAAACACATACATCTGAAGAATTACCTGGAAAACATGTTGAAGACTTTCCCTAGATTGTAGCACACAGAGAAAAAAGAATGGAACATGAAAGGTAAAAAGCAAGAATTCTTAACCACGGGCAAATTATCACCTATTTAAGACTGATGAATTGTGTTTTTCACCAATTAAATGAATGTACCCTAGAAAGTAATATAAACAAAATATTAATGTTCTTTTATTTACAACAGAAATTCAATAAATCAACTTTTGAATCACACAAACAAAAAAAAGCAAGAATACTATTAGAAGGACTGACAGAGGCTGAACATGAAATCAAGGAAGATTAATTAGAAAGGATAGAAACAGATAATATAAAAAATATAATAACTGAGAGTTTTCCAGAGCATGTAATAAAAACATATATAGCTTAAAATATCATAACTCTAGGAAACTAAAAGTTGACAGAGAAGATCTGAGAAAGTAATTAAACAGAATGTCTTCAAAGGGATCAGCTGACATGTTTCTTGACAGCAGCAGTATAAGCCAGAAGGAAATGGGATAATATTTTCAAAGTACTGAGAGAAAATAGTCATCCACCTAGAATTCTATGCCATTGTAGAATGAAAGTAAAAATCAAATTTATCAAATAAACCAAAGGAAATTGATGTAACACCTGAATGAACAACTTAAGATTTTATTTCAGGAAGAAGGTAATTTAACCATAAAGTAAGAATGAGATGGAAGAAATAATGGTGAGGAAATATATTGTTTGCTTGTCACTTACGGTATAAAGCAATTATAATAACAAAAGGAAATACTTGGCAGTATAATAAAGTAGAACTAAATTGTCTACACTATACAACTTAGGAGTAGTTGAGGTATTCTAATGTTCTTTTATTGTTTGGGACTATAAATAAAAGATGAGTTTTAGTCTTTGTTATTCAACTATATAGTTAAAATCTTAAAGGGATCCATGAAAAGATTATAAATAGACTTAAATTTCTAAATCAATGGAGGGTAAGAAGGGTATGAAAACTTAGTTGATGAAAAAGAAGTAAAAGTGCCTTGAAAAATCAAGTTAAATTGAATCATAGACAATAAAATAACTGTAATAAATTCAGCTGGGCATAGTAGCACACACCTGTAGTCCCAGATAGCTACTTGGGTGGCTGAGGCAGGAGGACCACTGGAGCCCATGAGTTCAAGACATGGTGCCTAGGAAACAGACCCCCACCACCACAAAAAATTAAAATATTTCAAAAATCCCAGTTATCATAAGAAATGAAGCTAAACTTATCAGTTTAAGCATATAGAAATTAACCCTTTTAAATTCTATATGCTATTCACTATGGATGTTGCTTAAACATAATGACATAAAACTGTTAAAAGTAAATGAAAACAAACAACATACTAGGTAAACTTTTATCAAAATAAGCTGGTATAAACTATACCGAAATCAAAGGAGACTCTGATGCTAAAAAGCATTTAAAGCTTACCACTTAATCATTAAAAAGTACATTTTGTCAAGAATATTAAAGCATTTATAAGCATCTATAGTCCTGAAAGACATAGCCTCAAGATTTATAAAAATTTGACAATTGTATGACAAGATTGGAAAATTCACAACCACTAAGGAGTGTCTGAATGCACATCTCTCAATAATGGATAAATAATGTAGATAAAAATTAATATATCATGCAGTATGAAATTAGTTGATGGCTTTTTAAAAACAAGTTCATTTCTACCTAACAGCAACAAATGGTTTGAGAATAATTTTTTTAAACCATTTATGATAACAATAGAATCACAATATGCCTAGAAGAGATGTTAGTAAGAAATCACAAGATATTTATAGAGGAAATTTAAAATCTTTATTGAAGAAGTCTTAACAAATAGAAAGGACTGTCATGTTCATAGATGAGAACGCTCAATATCATACATAACAAAGGTTATTTCTTCCCAAATTAATATATAAACTCATTGAAGTCAAAATCTTAATGAAGTTTTCTGTGGGACATGACAAGCTGATAAAATTCATTGAAAGGTGAAGGAGAAAGAGCAGCCAAGACAATATTAAAGAATCACAAAGTAGGGGGACATTTCCTACCAGCTGCTCGTTTAATAGGACTATGTTGTTGATACAGGATTAAACAATAAGATATAGGGCAAGAACAGAGTGTACAACACGTTTTTTTTGAAACTTGATCCATGTGACTACAAATCAGCATCTAAGATTTTACACACTGCTGGTGAGTGTGTACAATGTTGCAAATACTTTGGAGTACAATTTAGCAATATTTAATAAAGCAGAAGATGTATATGTCTATCCTATATCTCAGCAATTCTACTCCTAGGTATATATTCTGAAGAAACCCTACCACATGTATACAAAGGAACAGTGCAAGAATATTATTAAAACACTTTTGAAATAGTAAGCCATTAGAAACAACCTTAAATGTCCATTTAAAGAGAATGAATAGAGTGTGATACATACATATTACAGAATGCTAGTAGCAATTAAAACGACTGAAGCTAAATTTTTCAACATGGGTAAACTTCATAAATGATGTTGAACAAACAGGCAAGTTGTAGAATGATGTGATCAGTACAATACCATTTGTGTAAAACCTTAAAATGTGCAGATAGATATGTACACATATAGTAAAGTATAAAAACAGGCATGGGTAATTGTTAATCTCTGTGGTAGGTGAAATAAGAATGGATCAAGGAAGGGAACAAAGGGAGATTCAGCTTTACCTATGACCTTTTATTTAAAAAGAACTGAATCAAAGATGTCAAAATATTAGAATTAATAAAGTAATATTTTGGTGTACTTTGAAATCCATTTAAAATAAAGACTAAAATCTCCTTGGTAAATCTTGCATAGCAGTCATGTTTTAATCATCCAGATAGACAACAGTCTATTGATGTGTCCAGTCCTTTTCTTTGTGTCTAGGTCTGATTATTTCTGTTTCCATCTAGGAGCCACCATCACCTTCCCACAACTTCTTCAAAATGGGAATGAAGCTGGAAGCTGTAGACAGGAAGAATCCTCATTTCATTTGTCCAGCCACTATAGGGGAGGTTCGGGGCTCAGAGGTGCTTGTCACTTTTGATGGGTGGCGAGGAGCCTTTGATTACTGGTGCCGCTTCGACTCCCGGGACATCTTTCCTGTGGGCTGGTGTTCTTTGACTGGAGACAATCTACAGCCTCCTGGCACCAAAGGTAAAGGCTCTTGAAACCAAGATGCAGATGATGAGGGAGATTACCTATCTCTGTCACAGTCAATCTGTTCTCACCAGAACACTTCACTAATAGGCAGGGAAGGAAGAGGACCAGCAGCTTAGGTACATACCAAGGCCTTCAGAGAATAGCCATTAACAGTAAAGAATTAAGTGTCAAATGAAGCCAGACATGGAATTTGGGATGAAGTACAAATTCCTCCCTGTAAGTATCCTGACTTATTATCAGGGAACTAACTTCTCATTTATCTTACTTTTACCTCTAACCCCTTTCAAAGTATAGGTAGTAACATTCTCAAGGCAAATATCGTTCTCAAGGCAAATAAAATTCTCAAGGCAAATAATGAGCTAGGGTAACACTGTGTTGTAAAAATATTTCAGAATTGTTACAGCAAAATGGGATCTATCTCCGCCATACAAGCTGTATGGCTTTGAGCAGTTAATTCACCTCTCTAAACTTCTGATTCTACATCTTTAAAAGAATACCTACTTCATAAAGTTATTGTGAGGAATAAATGAAATTACATCTGTCAAATAGAAGGGGCTAAAATAAATTGTTGTATTAATGCTGCTATTATTATAGTTATGCTATATTTGTTACAATTACTACATAGTGTTATATTATTATTATACTATTATAAAATTAACCACTAATAATGTGAGAAATAATAGTGCCACAGACTAAATGAATCATAAATTATACTTTTGATGATGATGATGATAATGATTGTTGATGATGATGGTCATAATGATAGAGATCATCCAGGATAGATTTATAGATGGCTGCTTTTAATAAGGAAAATAATAATACTTCCATCCTCTTAAGTCTAAAATGTACTGGTAAACCTGAGGAAAGAAAAATTCACTCTTCCTATTGTCTCACAGTCTCTTTTCTAAACTTCTGTTCTTTAATTCAATTAGCCAAATATTTATTGAGCACATCATTGTAAGCCAAGCTGAGGATGCTTTAGTGACAAAGATGAACAATAATTCTGCCTTCATAACACTTTTGTTCTAGTGGGGTAAGACAGCAGATGTTTAAATCAAGAAATAAGACCATTTCAAGTGCTAAAGATATAGCTTAGTAGTAGAGCTCATGCTTTTCCTAAGTTTGGTCCTGGGTTTAATCTCCAGCACCAAAAGAGAAAAATGAAAAAAGAAGAAAGTCATTTCCAGTAGATAATTTCTAAAGGGAAATGAGATAATTTCTCCTAAGAAAACAAAGTCTGATAAGCTAGTGACAGTGAAACTATAGTAATAATGGAAACTATATGTTTAATATCTTTATTGAAGTATAGTTGATGTAAAATTTATCGCATATATTTAAAGTGAAAAACTTTAATATGAAAATATTTAATATGAAAAACTTTGAATAAACATATATCCATGAAATCATTACCCCAATCAAAATAATGAATGCATCTACCATCCCCAAGTTTCTTTATGGAAGGGTAACTTCTAGATAGAATTTCTTTTCAGGAAAATTTGTCTGAAAAGTCAATGTTTGAATTAAGACCTGAATGATAAGAAGGAACCATCAAGGAAAGAGTGCCAAGGATACAAATGAGACAGCTAATGCTGTTGTCCTGAAATGTGAATGAGCTCACTTTGTTTCCAGGGCAGAAAGCAGATTGCTGTTATTAGAATACACAGCCTGAGTGAGAAGGTAGTACAAGTTGATGCTGGGGAAGCAAACTGATGTCAGAAGATACAGGGCTTTGTAACCAGAATGAGAATTTTGAACTTTATTCTATACTTATTAGAGGGTGCTAAGCAAAGGAGTAACAAGTGACAAGATCTGATGTACTTTTTGAAAATCACTTGAATTCATATCCAAAATATAAAAGAACACTTATGGCTCAGCAGTAAGAAAACATAAATAAACCAAATAGGCAAAGGATTTAGATGGATATTTCTCTAAGTAATATATATAAATGACTGATAGCACTTGAAAAGCTGCTCAGCATCTTTAATCATTAAGGAATGTAAACCAAAATCATAGTGAGATAACCACTTCACACCCATGGGTATTGCTGTAATCAAAAGATGAACAATTACAATATTATGGAAGCTTAGAAAAATTAGAACTCTCATAAATTGTGGTGAAATCATAAAGTACTGCAGCAACATTTGAAAACAATTTTGAAGTTACACATACTTATTATGTGACCCAGAAGTTCCACTCATAGATATATACTCAAGAAAATAGAAAACATATGTTCACATGAAACACATTATGAATATTCTTGGCAGTGTTATTCATAATAGCCCAATAGCCAATGAATGGATAAATAGAATGTGGTATAGCCATATAATAAAATAGTATTTGGCAATAAAAAAGGAATGGTTTACTGATAGTGTTATAGCATAGTTATATCATAAAAATATTATAAGTGGAAAAAAATGTACTGTCTGATTGCATTTATATGGAATGTCCAGAGCATGTAAATACATGGAGGCAGAAGTGGATTTGTGGTTGCTAGGGGTCAGGGGAGATATTAGAAGTGACTGCTAATGGATATGGGGTTTTATTCTGGGATGATGAAAATGTTCTAAAATTAGATTGGGGTGATGTTTGCACAAACTTTGTGAATATACTTAAACACTGAATTGTGTGAATTTTATGGCATGTGAATTATATGTCAATAAAGATGTAACCTAAAAAATCACTTGGGCTGCTCTGTGGAGAATGGATTGTGCAGTGGTTATTGTGAATGAGGAAGAGATGAGGGTGGCTTGGATTAGGATAGTGGTGCTGAGGTAGGGGGAACTAGAAGTAAGGTGATCAGGAAAGTGCCACTCCTCTATATAGTACAAGAAATATGTGCCCAGGAGTCAGTATGAGAAATCTGTTGCCAATCCTCTTCATGCTCTGAGAAGCCGCAAGAGAGGTGCCTTGGAACTAGTACTGCAGTCATTTTTATTTTTTTGAGGTCAAAACAGGATAGGCTCTGGTAATTCAAGTTTCTTTCAGTAAATAGGTCAATTTTCTCAGTTTCTTGCCTGGAAAATTATGTTGTTTTATTGGAAAATCTCCTAGAGATATTAGGCAGTCCTACCAAACCAGAGCTGGGAGTTTGTATCCAGGAATTACTGGGCATGCATTCCTATCTGACTGCACTCACACTGATAAGAAGTGACTCACAATGCAGTTGAGGCTTCCAGAGGAGTTTTCTGACTATTCTCTTCTGCATTTCTCTGAAGACCTTAAATTTTTCATGGAAGATGGCCAGAAGGACCAGGCTCAGAAGGCCAATAGGCCTTCTTCTATATGATATTTCCAGATAGGTCCTTTGGTTATAATTCCAGCATTTATCATTCCATTGTTCCCTTCAGTAACTCTTCTCCCTGACCTCATTCTCAGTAGGTCCTAGAGTGGAGCTTTTCATAATAGCAGAGACTCAGCCATCTTAGTATCCTGGCTGAAGAACAAGTGATGCAATGTGGAAAGAATGTGATTACACAATTCATTTCACAAAACAAGATGTTCTTTGTACATAAGCCTGTTCTTTCTAATCATGCCATCTCCTCCGTTCTTTCTGCCTTCTGGTCATTAGTGTTTAAATTGTTTAAAAATTCAAAGTAAGATGAAATATCTGATGCTTATAAGTAGGAAAAAACCCAATGTTCATTTAATATTTTTTTACACGCTGTTTCATATTATCTTCTTGGTAACTCTGAACTAGGTGCAATTGTTTTTAGATACATTTTATTTATGAGAAAACTGAAACTTAGATAATTAAATGACAACTCTATTGATATGAGTCTGGAGGGAGAGACTCTGGAGATTTCTTCATGGAACAGTGTCAGGTCCAGTACAGTTTGAGCTGTATTGCCTTCACACATCATCCTCATACTCTCCCTGTTCTCCACTGGCCTCCTTTCAAAGCTTCATTTGAGATCCTGGATTTTGGCTCCCAGATCCTGGTAGGAAGTAGAAAAGATGTAGTGTGGTAATATATCAGAGCACTTATCTGGATTCTAGTAGCAGTAGAGCCAACACACTTGTTTTGCCTTTGAGAAAGTCATTATATACACGAGAGGCTGAACTTGGTCTTTGAAGGACCTTCTACTTCTGTAATACATGTAGTTTAATGATTTGGAGAATAGGTAGCAAATGACTTTTGTGACCTTGTCTCCTACTTGATTCTAGATCAATCAGCTTACCTACTACCTAGCTCCATCTAATGAAGGGAGTCCTGCATGCCAGCTGTTCACTGCCTCTCCTTTTCTTCTTTGCTAAACCAGTAGTGTCCCTTTAGCTCCTAAACTGATGGGCAGAAGCTATCAAGAGTCCAACTAATCCAGGATACTTGGTTATAAAATGAAGAAGCACTTTTTTGGATCATTTTTTTTGAAAGTTATAATTGAAATAGACACATGCTCTATTTTTTATTAATGCTTTATAGTTATACATAATATCAAGGTTTATTTTGATATAATCATACAAGCATGGAATGTAATTTGCTCTAATTCAATCCCTAGTATTTTCCCATTTCATTCCTTCCTATTTTCCCCCATCTTTTTTCTCCACCATCTCTAGTGGTCTTCTATTTATTTATATTTTTAAGTAATGTTTTGTAGATATACATAAAGGTGGACTTCACTGTAGTATATTCATATATGTACATAGGATGGTTTGGTAAGTTTCATTCCACCACTCTTCTTTTTTCCATCCCTCCTCCCACCCCTCAATCCCTTCCTCTACTCTACTGATCTCTCTTCTATTTTCATGGAAATCCCCTCCATGCACCTTTCCACCTCTTATTTTGGGCTAGCTTCTGCATATGCGAGAAAGCATTGATTCTCTGAGTCTGGATTATTTCCTTTAGCATGATGTTCTCCAGTTCTATCCATTTACTCACAAATACCATAATTTTATTCTTCTTTATAGCTGAGTTAAACCCCATTGTGTATATATACCACATTCCCTTAATCCATTCATCTGTTTATGGCATCTGGACTGGTTCCAAAATTTGGCTA